GTTTTAATATGTTGTGAGAAGAATACTGGAATTAATATGAAAAGTTTTTAATTTTAAATACTGCAGTTGCACAAATGATTGAATTCTGTGATCTCACACTGGCTGCAAATATGGTCATGTCATTCAAAATTAATAAAATACAAAACACTTGAGAGTCTTTTCCAGAAATTGTCAAATCGTACCTCAGCTGGGGTCGTTGGCATGGGGTTGGTACTTCAGTGCCTGTGTGCAGGGGTTTCGGTTTTTAAATATTGCTGTATGAGAGGTGCTAAAGGCTTTTTGGAACTTAGAAATGACAAGGAAATATATTTTACTGTATTCAGGAAAAGGATTTTATTAACTTCGAAGAATTTTGATCTTACTTCTTCTGTCATCACCTAAAAGTGTCTTCATCTTTCTTAGGCAATAGTTTGAGAATTCTAAGTTAGAACTTCTAAATCCTTCACAATATTATTTCCATTACTTTTCTTCAAAGGAGAGGAGGGAATATGCTGACCCTAGAATCCCATGTTTCATAATTTAGAAGTTTTCTAGGTTGGGCTTGTGGGGTTGGGGTGGCCAACTGGTGGCCAAATACTTCTGGAAAACACAGCCTTGTGTATCTATTTTAGTAAAATGTGAATGAATGTTAGTTTATTTTTGACTCTGCATGAAGACACCTGTTTAACCTTCTTGTCGAGCCCAACATTTCTCAAGTTTATTTAATCTCAAAACATTGTATAGCAATATTTATAACAGCTGACATTCATAATAGTTAAAATGTGGAAGTGACGCAAATGTCTATCAGTTAGGGAATGTATCAACAACTGTATATCCATTCAATAGATCTACTCAGTGGAATACTATTTGGCCATGAAAGGAATAAACTGTGGGCCCTCCCTCATGGAGCAATGAGTTAGGATGCAGCACTGCAAGCTGGCCATAGCTGCTTCAGTACAAGTTCGATCCCCTACCTTGGAGGTGACCCACATGGCAGACCTCACCTGACCCACCTGCTGCTCCCCTTAGCAGTATACTTCATCGATGTGCCTGTTCTGCTTCCCCACTCTGTCTCTACTGAATCCTCTCCCTGCCCCTGCAACTCTGGCCTGTACCCCAATTCTGTATGCATAAATAAATAAATCTTTTCTTAAAGGAATAAACTGTAAATACATACTACAATATGGGTGAATATTGAGAACACTTTGCTAAAAAACAAGGCGGAGGCCCTCCCTGGTGGTGCAGCGGGTTAAAGCACAGCATTGAGAAGCTAAAGCCACTTCTGCATGAGTTCGATTCCTGCCTGCCGCCTTCCCCGGAGATGACCCACATGGTGCAGCAGACCTCTCCTGACCCGCCCACTGCTCCCCTCAGCAGTGTACTTCATCGGTCTGCCTGTTCTGCTCCCCACTCTGTCTCTGGTGAAGCGTCTTGCTGCCTGTACCCCAGTTCTGTATGCACAAATAAATAAATCTTTAAAAAAAAAAAACAAGGCCAGAAACAAAAGACACATATAACATGCTGGAAATGGCAAGTGACACTAGTGGGCTCAAGTTTCTTTTGGGGAAGATGAAAATGTTCTTCAGTTACCTAGTGGTGATGGGCGCTCAAATCTGAGTATGTGAAGTCACTTCATTGTGATTGAAAGGGGCGGGTTTCATCACAGCTGAATCATTCACCAATAAAGCTGTTGTTGAAAAAATAACCATGAAAAGAAAAGCTGTACTTACAACTAAAGCAAGAAGTGATGAGGGTCTCAAATAAGAGTGGTGACAGAAAGGTCCTAGGTGTTGCACAGAGGTCACAGAGCACATGGATGATAGCTTCGGGAAGGTGAACATGGGTTTTTGTATTTCACCTTCATGAGGAAGAGGTAGACATCTTAGAGGTGGGTCCTCATAGGTCTTGATCAGGGTGGGAAAGCACCTACCTCAGGTCCAAGGCCCTATAGTCCCCTAGGGGCTGAGGCTGGTGTAGGTGGGGCTAAAACCCTTCTTTCCTTTCCTCCCCCAGGTTGTGGCTGCAAGTGAAGTGAGTGAAGGCTCATAATGAGGCAGCCGTGGCTGGACTGACCCCCTCCAGCAGTGGGGCTAGAGGCAGAAGGAAGCTGGTGTCCTGCTGAGACCCTTCCTAGGCATTTAGAAAATTGCTTCTGAAGAGCAGGGTGGTAGCACAAAGCTTAATATCCAGCATGTCACAGACTGCTGGTTTCTCAGCACAGATTTCTGAGGTGGCTTGAGGAGGAGGAAGCAGCCTTAGTCCTGGGGCCCTGTGGGCTGGCACCCCCGCTCTGTGGGGAGGCTGTCATGGGCTTGGCTCGGCTAGCCAGGAGCTGTTGGAATCCTGTGTGCCTTAGACTCTGGCCTCTGCCCCTGCTCGGCCCGGGCTCCCTGTGCAGCGGGGACAGCTGTCCTCCAGGGCTGTTGGGAGGGCTGATCGTGACGCTGCGTGGGGAGCAGGGAGTCAGGTACGACTGTCACCCCACCCCTCAGCCTTCTCGAGGTGGTTTCCTTGTGCCTCTGAGAGGTTAAAGTGAGATATGTGTGCAATTGTTATGTAAACAGTCACTGACATCTCATCAGAGCAGACATTCACAAGGCTCCAGTAACCCAGTGCAGAGTGTCAGCACCATTGCGCGGATCTTTATGTCAAATGAGAACTTGTTCTTCTTTATTACTGTACTTTTCGCCTTGCATGACCTTCCAAGAACACAAAGTGTGTGTGTGTGTGTTTTAATGAAAATCTTCACGCACTGAAAGATATAACCTATGCACTCCTTTGCCTTTATTATTATTATTATTATTTTAAAGGTTTATTTGTGCATAAAGAACTGGGGTACAGGCAGAGGTACAGGGGCAGTGAGAGGCTTCACCAGAGACAGAGTGGGGAGCAGAACAGGCCCACTGATGAAGCATACTGCTGAGGGGACCAGGGGTGGTCAGGAGAGGTCTGCTGCACTCTGTGGGTCACCTCCAGGGTGGGCAGGGATCGAACTCATGCTGAAGTGGCTTTAGCTTCTCAGTGCTGTGCTTTAACCCGCTGTGCCACCAGGGAGGGCCTATTGTTATTATTATTTTAAAATAGTTTTGACTATTGCTAGCAATCTATTACTTGTCATTCTTTGTTACTTGATTCTAAATCCTTTCAACTTCTAAACAAGCAATTGGTGCCCCAAGTAGGGAATGACATTTGAGAATTTCTCAGACTAAAATGTAAGGGAAGGATTGCTTTCTGCCCCTCAGTCTCCATTTGAAAATGTCTTTACTATAAAAATAATGTCATCATGTTATAAACATTTTAGAGAAGAAAGAAAAAATGTCTACAATTCATTAGTACAGTTGATAGTAGTTTTATAACTGCATGTCAGGTCATTCTTATATACATATTTTCTATATCTGTATATGTATAGCATATAGATCTCTATATACATGTCTTATTCACAATCACATACAAACCTAAAACTTGCTTGTTTCTCTCTCAGAGTGTCTTCCATACCATTGTCTGTGTTCAGTACCTGTTTTGTAGAACATGAGGATTCGGTGATATAAGTGCTTAGCGTGGTGTCTGCCTGTTAGTGTCAGGAAAAGGGAGCTAATTGTCATGACTCTTTCCATAGATTGTACAGTTTCCTATGGATGCCAAGAAGTGGATTTTTTAAGTCAGGTGCTCTTGAGGTTCTTGATACATGGCACCTGCCACCTGGCTTTCCACAGAGGCCATTTCAGTTCACAAAACCTTTAGTACAACTCAAGAGTATGACCAGTCTTCATCAGCACCTGCCTCCCCCTCTCTTTTTTAGTAAAAGTGTCTAGTAATTACAAGTGGTGAACTCTTGGTTGGATGTTTACTAGCGTAAACTCTTTGTTGGGTATGATGCGTGAAACAGCTGGAATCATATAACATTTTCTTACTGAATTATGAAACCTCATTAATAAAAAATCATAATTCTTTGTTGTATGGACTACAGTTAAGGTTCCTGATTGATTTCTTATTTTGGATATGGGTATAAAAAAATTCATACACACAGTGGTCCACACTGTGTTTATGATTGTTCTGGTGAACTTGCCCATGCTCCAGGGGGGTCTGATGGTCCAATAGCACCAACTTGGGCTTCCTTCCGTCCTGCCCATGGCCATTTGAAATCTGAATACATTTTATGGTAAAATGTAATTTTTTTACCACACCAGAGTTAAGGGCAAAGCACACTGACTCTTCTTAGATGTAGAGAAATCTGACAAGGAACTAATACAATATTGCTTGGTTTTTAGAACAGATTATAATTTTAGCTCTCCACAAGGGTAGGCTTCTGGACATTTTCCATCCTTTCCTTGAGAACTGGTGCTTCTGAAGATGTCATGCCAGATATTTTTCTGGCTAGCATTTGTTCCACTCATCAGAAACCCTCAGCCAAATTCTCTGAAGTGCTTCTACCTAACCTGACCTATTTTCTTCAGACTTTTTTCTTGTAAGACACTCCGTCTTGGTGAGAGAGGAGATGAAAGGTGTGGGCTTTTCACACGGATGAAATGCTAGTAAATGTGCTTCTTCCTAAACTCCAGCAAGAGTGTGGGCAATCAGCTGGCCTGCATTTCCACCTGGGAAGCCTGGGTGAAGCCCCAGCCAGTCGACATAACAGGTTAGCAGTGAAGCCAGTCGACATAACAGGTTAGCAGTGAAGCCAGTCGACATAACAGGTTAGCAGTGAAGCCAGTCGACATAACAGGTTAGGGATCAGCCTCAAGTGAGACTGCAAGTGAAGAGTCTAAGCTGCCTGGAGTTTAGGATAGCGAGCGCCGTATTCTTTTGGAGGACGTGCGTCCGTTTCTTCTCTGGCTGATGAGCTGGAGTTGTCATGTGGACTTGACCCCTCCCCTGCCGCCCCCAGAGTCCCAGGCCCAGGACGTGGGCCAGCAGGAAGCTACCAGGCCTCCGTTTGCACAGGCTTCGTTGAGGAAGAGGTCCTGGGGGTCCTCACTGCGGCCCCAGCCTTGGCACACAAAGACATGACATTGGCTTCCAGGTCTAGATCTATAAATATATTTATTATAATATAACAAGAACTTAACAATAAACATATACTATGTACAATACCATTACAGAGAACCCTGTTTTCTATCATTCACAGAAATAGCCAGTTTTGCTCCAGTGTGATAGATGAGAGGAACGGAATTGCAAGGTCATCTGTGTTGAGTCTTGCTGACCACTAACACCTCCTTTGGAGGCAGACGTTACACACCGACGCTAACATTAGCCCTGCCCCGGGCAGTTAGAAATTTGTGCTCCAGTCCTGGGGTTCACACTTGCACCCTGTTTGACATAAATACTTTAAATGACATACAATGTATGTAGTTTTGTGCTTATTACTTTTTAAAAGAATAAATAATATTAAAAACTGCATAACGAAGCTCGGTGTCTTGTCCAAGAGGGAGCCACAGCTGGAGTGCTGGAAATCGACGCCGCCCAGGAGACCACCGACCGGAACTTGGTGTCCACAGATACCGGAAATGGAGAGTGCGTTCTGTTCCTCTCTCCTTAGAAATGGTTCTTCCCGTGGAGTGACAGCAAGTTGACTTCCGAAATAGAAAAATGGCAAATGTGTATTTGGTACCAACTTCGACTCAACAGCGCAGTGGCGGCGTTCTACTGGCCTGGGGTGGAAACTGATCACCGGGCGAGGGTGAGGGGCTGAGGGCCAGCGGGCGCTGCTCTTTGGAGCCACGGCCCCTCCTTCCTGGCTTCCCGCCTCGGCGGCTTCCTGGCTGGCAGGATGCTAGTCCTGCTCGTGCCCTTGGGCCGTGGCGGCCGTGGCTCGTCTGAGAGGCTGTCCCCATCCTGAGAGCTCTGGTGGCAGGTGCCTGAATATATAGCTATAAATATCAAAAATAGTCTCCTGTGCTTTGTAGACATTTATTCTCCCTCTTTCCCGCCTCCCCTCCCCACCCGGCCTGGGCCCTCAGCTGTACCTCCAGGAGGGAGCGGGGCTGGCTTCCTTCCTCACACAATCTTCCTTCCTCAACAGTACCTTCAGGGGCACTGCTTTTATGGGGGACAGCCTGGGAGTCACTTTTCTAAAAAATAAAACGGGGGGGCATTGGCCCCCACCCCAGGAGAGGTCCTCTGTTCTGCACATAGAAAAATTAGAGCAAATGCCCAGCTCTGCCACTACCTACAAAGAGCTTTGGGGGTCCCCGCATCTCCTCCTGTGGCCTTCTCCTCTCAGTATTTAAAAATAGCTTTGTTTATCAAGAAAATGCCTTGGAAATCTAAATAATTCATATTGGATAAGAGAAAGCGAGCACAATCACCTTGTTCTTCTCCAGCAGAAACACGCGGTAAACCCTGTGGGGACAGCAGGCTCCTGGCCGTCCCCAACCCTGCGCCGGCCACACTCCCCGGGCTGGACTCCTGGCCGGAGGGGCACGCCCAGCGCTCCCTGGGCCCCTGCCCACAGCATTGTCCTTGTTTTCTCTCGCCCACTTGTTAAGTGTAGATTGATTACAAACAAAAGTAGGAATCAAAGTGGTAAGGACACTTTGATCTTATTCCAAGAGAGCCTGACGCCTCGTGCTGTCATAGGATAACTGATCTACGGTGGCTTAGAGACCAAGCTTGCTCTGCAGGAAGGCAAAAACAGCTTCTCTCTCCCAGTTGAAAAATATGTGAAACTCTATTGGACCGGGCAGAGCGAGCGCCTCCATTCAGAGCAAGCGCCTCGCGGGAGCCCCGCGCCCCCCTCCGGGGCGCCCCTGGCTTGGAGGGGCTCGGCGCGCCAAGCCCCTGGTGCCCCTAAAGGCGAGGATGATTTTCTACATTCAATGTAGAGTATTGGAAATGTCGAGCGCAGTGAGTTCCTGGGTCGCGTCGGTCGGCCTCTACTGGTGCTGCTGAAAGCGCATCGTGGCGCGTGGCATGCGCTCACCAGACGGGTCCAGCCTGCGCGGGCTCGCGGGCCGTCAGCCACTCTGAATGTACTTCTTTATCACCACGCAGCCGTGTCTGAACACGGGGCACGGCATGTGGGGCATCAGGGCCCACGTGTTGGTGGTGGGCTCGTAGGCTTCCATGTTGCCCAGGGCAGGCCCCTCGCTGCTCACGATGCCGCCCGTCGCGTAAATCTTGCCATCGAGCACCACGGCACTGCGGGGCAGGGAGAGAACGGGCCATTCAGCCTTCACCAGGGCCCGGGCCGGCTCTTTCCACGCGTGCCCTGTAGGCCGCCTGTCCTCTCTTACACAGCATATGAGATCTCAGTGCTCTGTTCTCTGACTGGACTACACCTGTCCTCTAGGGCCCATGAAGATGCTGTGCTGTACCCCACGCCCCAAGCTGGGGTGGCTTTAACCCTGGGCATCCCAGAACCGGCTAGGGCGACTACTCTTGGTAGGGAGACCGACAGACCCTGCGTCCAAGCGCTGCGCTCTGCTCACCGGCTCCCTTCAGCTCGTGTTGGGCCGCCCCATACAGGCCTCTTGCAGCTCCACGTGGGAGGGCAGGAGAGCTGGTCCCGCCACTTCCACCTCGTGGAGAATGAGTGGCCTCTCGGGCCTGGGCGCAGGGGGGCATGTGGGAACCTCTGCATTTCCGGCTTTGCGGTGGGGGCCACCTGGAGCCACCCTACTGTGCTTCTGGGCCGGAGGCTGCCAAGGGGACAGCCCTTGACCATGGATGTCCTGGACACTTCCTATTCTGCCCTGGCTCATCTCCACACCTGCGGCTTGAGGGGCTGCGGCTCGGGCGGGGCTTGCTGGTGGGTAATGATTGGCCCTGACCCCTCCGGTGATCGCCCTCCTCCCCCCTGTCCCCCCTGGGCGGCTCCTCACCTGCAGAACTGGCGAGAGTGATTCATGTTGGGGCCCGCCTTGATGTTTCCTTTCTCGGGGTCGTAGATAGTGGTGGCTCGGGCATAGGCCCCACCCAGGATGAACACGAAGCCGTTGAGGGTGACGGCGGGCGCGTACTTGTTATCTGTGAGGGAGAGAGCGGGCAGGTCAGCGGACGCCTAGTGGCCGCCTTTCTCCTTTTCCTTCCCAATGGGGCTTCCAGAGGGAGGGCGCTGAAGCGACCGCCAGGAAGTCCGCCCGGCCTGGGGACCAGGTCGGGGCAGGGGGCAGCTGAGGCAAGGACGAGCGTGCGGCCCTTGGTCCCGGCGGTCGGTCCACTGCAGCTGGCGAGCTGGGCTCGGGTGCCCGCTGGTCCCCTGCGCCTGGGGCACGGATGCGAATAAAGCCACTAGAGGGCGCCGCAGGGCGCTGGGCCGAGAGAGAGCAGCCAGGCCCTCACCGATCATCGGGGACTCGATGAAGCTCCACGTGTTGGTCTGCGGGACGTAAGACTGCAGGACGCCGGCCGCCCGGCCCGCCTCGTTCACGCCGCCGAACACGTAGATCTTGCCGCCGCACACTGTGGCCGCCGCGGAGTGCACGGCCTTGGGGAGCGGGGCCACCGCTTCCCACTGGTTGGTGATGGTGTCGTACCTGTGGGGAGAGGGAGCCGGGTCAGGGACGGCCCGCTGGAGGGCGCACCTGGAGGTGTGACCCTCCACCCTACGGCATCCGTGGGGGTGTAAACCAGTGTTACTTCAATTAAAAAAAAAAAAAAAACCAAAGCAAGTTACAAACAAAATTAGTGCTCGGCCAGGCGGCGGGGAGCGCTACCCTGGGGAGAAGCGCCGCTGGGCCCCACCCGCAGCGCCCCCAGCACAGCCGCGATCACGCCGCGCGGGGGCCGGGCCAGGCGCTCAGGGTACCTAACATCTGCCCACCCCAGCCCTCTCCGCCTCCCCTGAAGCCGAGCTCTGGTTGGACGAGGGTGTGAGGGGGAATGACAGGAGGGGGGCAGAGGGGAGGAGGCCAGAGGCTGGCTGGTGTGACCAGCACTTGGCCTGGGGCTCCCGAAAGCTGTGATGGGTGGGGGGCCAGGGGGTATCGGGGAGCCAGGTGGTGGCAACTCCACTGAGCGGAAACAGCGCCGAGAGAGGGTTTTGTCAGGGGGACCCGATAAATGCTTTTAAAAAGCAGCTCTGGCCCTCCCTGGTGGTGCAGCGGGTTAAAGCGCAGCACTGAGAAGCTAAAGCCGCTTCTGCATGAGTTCGATTCCCGCCTGCCCCGGAGGTGACCACAGGGTGCGGCAGACCTCTCCTGACCCGCCCGCTGCTCCCCTCAGCAGTGGACTTTGTCGATCTGCCTGTTCTGCTCCCCACTCTGTCTCTGGTGAAGCCTCTCGCCGCCCCTGAGCCTCTGGCCTGTACCTCAGTTCTGTATGCACAAATAAATAAATAAATCTTAAAAAAAAAAAAAAAAAGCAGCTCTCGGGGAAAGCTCGCGGCTCTGCGCACTTCTGGTGTCTCTGGTGTAAATCTTCTCCAGGACTTTAAGCTGCTAATGGGACATCACTGGGCACATTTGGGAAAAAATGCCAAGTTGCTCCTGGTTAAAGAGTCTGGGCCGACCATATGTAGACACAGTAGATAAAATGGACCTTTCAGAACACAGACAGTGGTAGAATCGTGCAAAAATGAGGTCGCGATGAGTTCTGAGCATGGGTGCCCTTTGTTTTTACTATTTGAATGTGAACTGATCTGATTTAAGTTTTTGAATACCAGTGGTTAGCAGCTGGCTCGCAGAGTTCCAGAAAATCTAATCCCCGAGTGGGTGTGGACGGCTGCGCACCGCGGGGGTGGCTTTCATAGTAAGGGGAGGGTTGGCGGTGCTCCGTGCTGGCGGGGACAGCCCGCCGGTGGTGGAGGGAGGACCCAGCCTGTGAGAAAGACAGGGGGCACCCCCTTGCTGGAGTCGGGGTGGGGAGGGCAGAGTGGAGGTGCCAAGGGCAGCTCCCACCCCAAGCACTTGGCAGCGGGGATTCTGGGGAGCCCTTTCTCTGTGAAGCAGGAGAGAGGTGGGACAAGCATTGCAGAGGGGAGGGGCATGTCTAGGGTCAAAGCCCTGAGGAGCGGTGCAAAGAGGAGAAACACGTGTTGCCAGAGCAGGGGGCTATTGACAGGGGGCCCAGAAACACACGGGAGGCACCCAGGACCTGGTGGCGGGGGGAGGGCTTCCGTGTGCCCTGGGAGCCTCCACCACCTGTGGAATTTCTCCACCAGGGGCAGGGTGGAGAAACTGAAGTGTGGGCTGCACAGCACTGAACAGACCGGCCAACCAGGCGGCCCGGGAGAACGCAGCAAAGTCAGGACGAGCAGAGATGGGCCCTGAGTGGGGACAAGCATAGAGCAAAGTGGAAGCCAGAAGCCATTTGGGAGTCTGGAGCAGACAGACCGGCGAGCCAGGGTCCTTGGGGTCTCTCCTGGGGTGCCTCTGGGTCTGGGTCCTCTGTGTCCCTGAGGGGCATTCCTGAGGACCGCCTGGAAGGTGTGGCTCTGGCCCCCTCATGGGGTGACCCACCCACCGCTCCCCCAAGGCTCGTGCCTTTAGTGTGTTCTGGTCCCATGGCAGGTCTCCGTCGTGGGCTCACTGCACCCCCACGTTGGGTTTTCAGCACACCTTTCCTGGGAAGCACGCTGGGTCCATTTGTCCCATGAGCCTTGCTGGGGCGTGAGTCATTGCCGTCACTGCTCAGAGACCCCTGAGGATGACCTGTCTTAGCTTGAAGGGGAGGGAGTGGCCGAGGGGAGCCGTCTGCTCCGTGCTTGTGAAGACCCAGACTTTGAGAAGAGGCTGAAATGCCTTAAAGGGCAGCAGGAGCAGATGCGCGGAAGTTGCAGGTGAACACGTGTCCAGTGGGCAGTGGGGTAAGTGTCTTTCTGGACAGTGTCAGAAGTCCACCTATCTGCCTGTTAAGCCAGGTGGCAGTGGGCCAAAGGGCCTCTGCAGAAGGAGCTGGGGGACAGTGGAAGATGATGTGGCTGTTAGTCTCCGGGCTTCGGCATAATGGCATATTCCAGCGAACGAATTTCCCGAGAGCCGTTATTCTAGGTGGCTGATTGCCAAGCCACCAGCCCTGCAGCTCAATCTGTCAGCCTCCTGCTTGAGAAGGATATGCTAATGACATGCAAATGACCCCGCCGAGCAGGCGCTCCGCTATCATTTACCTGGTAACCACAGCTCCTGCCATCTATTGCTATAAAATATTAGACCCAGTTATTTATATAATGATATAATACAGGTTTGTCTATGGCGCTGTTGTTTTAATCTATAATTATATAATCTTGCTCTATTCCTGTAATACAGTAATGTAATATAATTATAATGTACTGTATATCTCATTCATTATCAATATAATAGCAATTTGTAGCATTAGTGCTTCCTCGGGAACAAAGCACCCTGGTGTCTGCCCCCATTCCCCTGACCTTCCTGTCACCCTGAATTCTTGTCATTGTCACAACAGGACACAGAGAAGGACTTGCCCACAGGGGCTCTGGAAATGCTGTGGGGCAAGAGGGCGGCACGCTCCTGCCAGCCTGTGTACCCCACTTGTATGAACACCACCAGGGCGCTCCTGTCCTGTCCCTCCAGGGTGGCTGGCAGGTCCCAGTGGGCTCAGGGCCCCTCTGGGCGCCCGGCGGGCTGGGTCCTGGGTCCTGGCCTGCTCCTCTGTCTCCCAGATGGCCCAGGCTGCTCTTGCTCACCATGTACTGCTGGAAGGAAAGCCGTGCAGGCCGGTTCCGCTCCTCCAGGGCCCAAGGGGAGCAGAGCTCGGCCCCCCCACCCCCATCTTGAAGAATTTTATCCTTGGACAAACCCGTATTTATCAACAAGTATATGATTGCAAAATGAGTAATCAGCATTTTAGGAGATTAAAAATAGCTAACAAAAGCAAGACAGGATGACAGATCTATCTCAGTTCACGCCTACGTAGGAGATGTCTCCTTTTCGTGTGTTTATGATCGAGTGACGAACGGCTGGAAGCTGGGGCCTCTGGACGACTTGGGTCGTGGCGGCCGCGTGGTGGGTCCCACGGAGGCTGTCAGCTTCAGGGCTGACCCGGGCAAGGGCTGCATTAATCTCCTCATCATTGCACGGGATTCCCCATTATCTCCCAATCAATATGACAATTAAATGCTGTTACCGAGCATCTCTGGGCCCCACTTGGGGGAGTTGAAGGCCCACAGTGAACATCCAGAGCCTGTCTCACTCTGCAGCCGTCTCTGCCGTAACATTTGTCAAGTGTCCAATTAGCCACCGAGGGAAAAATACAAATTGAGGGGTCTGTGTGGCTCCACCGGCAGGAGCTGTCATACGGGAAGACGAGCTTGCCGGGGAGCTGACGCTGCAGGCGTGGCGGCGAGGGGACGGGAAGGCCCCGCCACCACGGCGTGGCCCCCTGGCTTGGGGCGTGGCGTCAGCTCAGCCTGACGCGTCCCTCTTTGGGCCACTGCTTTCTCCAGGGAGCCGGGCTGCCTGACTCGCAAGGCTGCCTGAGCTCTCCTGCGGCTTCCCAGAGGCATCAATCCTCTGCACGGCCTGACCGGGCTCGCGGGGAGGATGGAGCATCCCCCCACCCCCACACCAAGCTCCCACCTCCAGCCTGGGCCCTCCTGCCTGACACCTGACCCTGCATTATGTGCTTGGCCGACTTAAATGAGGGACTCCAGCGGCGGCAGGCTGACACGCAGGGCGCAGGCTCACCGGCCACACCTCTCCAGGCAGTTGCAGTGACCCTCCCTGAGTGGCAGATTCCCAGGGAAGTTGGGGTGGAGGCTGGAGTGCTGCCGTGTGCCCTTTCCTGGGAGGGACGCGGAGGCTGCCGGCTCCAGCTTTGTCCTAAGCGCCCCCAGCCCCAGGAAGTTCCCCAAGTGCTTGTGGGCCTGACACGTCAGCTCGTGCCACCAAAAGGGATGTCAGGACACAGTGGCCGTCGCAGGGCTTGGACAGCTGCCCGCCTTCCTGCTCTGCCTCGCCCTCCCCTGTCGTCGTGCTTGAAGAGCCTCGGCCTAACGCCATGTAAGTGTCCAGTCCCCTAGTGGGCCTTAGCTGGGGAGGGGCGGCGGCCCAGTGTGGCCTGTTACCTCTCCACGTGGTCCACGTTGCCCGCCACGCCGAGTCCCCCGAGCGTGTAGATCTTCCCGTCATAGACGAGGCTGTTGTGCCGGCAGCGGGGGACCGTCATTCTGGAGACCAGATTCCAGTTGTCCAGCAGGGACATGTAGCACCAGACATCCGCCAGCGTCACCCCTGATTCCATCCCACCTGCAGGCAGTATGGGGGAGTCCAGAGAGCGGGCGGGAAGTGAGGGGGGGAGACCTGGCAGCCCTTCTCCTGACCAGGAGAAGGCCAGGACATGCTGCAGGGTCCTGACGTGTGTGGAGAGGGGCCTGGGGAAGCCCCCCCCAGCCTCCGGGAGCCTCACCTGAGAGGTAGATGTTGTCCCCGGCACTCACTACGCTGAAGAACTCGCGGTCATAGAAAGGCAGCGAGGCTAGGGGGTACCACTTGTTGTTCTGCGGGTTCCAGCAGGTGACGGCCACCAGCGAGCGCTGGGTCATCCCCACCATCTGACGGCCCCCGACCAGCACGATGACCTCGGCCACACCTGCGGGGACACGCATGGGCACCATGGGCCACAGCGGGCGCTGTCGGCATCCGTGCCCGGAGCCTCTCTGGGGGGCCGCCAGGAACCCCCAGGCTGACCCACGGCACCGGTGCGGGGGCGTCGAGCTGGCCCTCCGTACCTGCTGAGAGGCGGGGCCGCGTTCGGGGGGTCTGCATCTCCTGGCGGGCGTGGGGCAGCATGTGGTAGCGCTTGGCCTCGTTGACCAGGTCGCGACATGCTTCCGAGGACTTGATGAGCTCCTCGTTGTCCACCACGTTGAGCAGGTAGCTGGGGTGGATGAAGGGCAGGCGGACCACGGCCAGGAGCTCAGCCACGTGCTGTGGGGCCAAGACAGGGGACTGAGGCGACGGCCCCACCCACTCCCTGCCAGGGCTGAGAGAAGGAGCCCAGGACTGACAGCTGGACAACGCCGGTCTGCAGTTGGACTGGAGTGTCCACGGGGCTCTCCTGAACCTAGATAGAGACCCGGGGCTCCCCTCAGCCCGAGGCCAGGAGGAAGGAGGGGTCTGGCCTGCTGCTGCTCACCCAGGGGGGCCGAGTCATTCGCCTCCTCAGTACCCCACTCCATCTCCCCTCGGGGGATGGGCCTCATGCCAGGCGCCTGGGGTTGCCGGGGGCCGCCGCCTGCAGAGGTGTGTGGGTGGTAGGACGCCAGGACCCTCTGGAGGACCAGGAAAGCTTTTCTGATCATCTAACTTGGGATTACCACTGTTAGAACCTGTGTGCCCCTGACACCAAGTCACCTGGCTGCGCCCCACTGCCGCACCTGGTGCTTGGACCTGCCCGGCTGGATGAAGGCCTTTCTGTTTTTTTTCTTAAAGATTTATTTATTTATTTATTTATGCATACAGAACTGGGGTACAGGCCAGACGTGCAGGGGCAGCGAGAGGCTTCCCAGGGACAGAGTGGGGAGCAGAGCAGGCAGATCGACGAAGCACACTGCTGAGGGGAGCAGCGGGCGGGTCAGGAGGGGTCTGCCGCGCCATGTGGTCACCTCCGGGGCAGGCGGGAATCGAACTCATGCGGAAGCGGCTTTAGCTTCTCAGTGCTGCGCTTTAACCCGCTGCGCCACCGGGGGGGGCCTGGAGGCCTTTCCTAGAGCTCCTCAAGTCCCCCTCCAGTTGGTCAACTCCAGGCTCATCCCTTTAGTTTCAGACAACTGTGAACAGGTGACCACTCTGTGCCGCGGGCAGAACCGAGCTGAGGAACACAAGGAGACCAGAGGCTCGAGGTCTGTGAACTAGAGGAACTTGGGGCACGGCAGCTGCAAGTGTGTAGGAGCAGACACAGGGCTACGGCCGGGACCGAGGCTGGCGGCAGCCACCGTCACCACTGCCCAAACGGCCTTGCTTGCTCTGAAAGTGAATCCCGCCCCTCCCTGTCCCCCTTCCCTTCTGCTGTCAGGGGCGGGGCAGGGATGTCCACCCCAGGCTATGAATCCAGCCCGTGGCCCATCCCTCCTTCCCTGGTCCTTCTTGCTCCACATGCAGCAAAGTAGCCCTGCGTGTCCCTCGGCTACCTCAGCCCCCGAGCCGCAGCCCAGCCTTGTCCTCCACCTCACTCCCGAGAGCGCCTGACACGGCAGCCCAGGTGGTCCCGTGCTGAGAGGGCTGAAGGCTGAGAGCCTGCAGTGGGCCCGGGTCCCTGAGGCCCCCGGGGATGTGCTCACCTCCCTCTGCCCTGGCCCTGGCCCCAGGGACTCGTGGAGCCGCCCATGGGTGTGCTGGCTTCCCACTGCCAGCGTGGCCTCCCTCTGGCCCAGGCGCTTGGCCAGTAACCTCAGTAACGGGCTTGGGCGGGGTTCCAGATAGGGGGGCCCCAGAGCACCCGTCAGGCCCACACGTCCTCCTGCAGGGTCCGGGCACTGCCCGCCCAGGTCCGGCACTCCCGCCCTGAGGCTCTGGCGAGGGTCCCCCAGCTCTCCCGCCTCCCACAGGGCGAGAGCCAGCGTCCCTCCCCCCGCCTGCTGGTTCCCTGGCCTTCCCCCCCTGGCCAGACCAAGCCTCCTCACCCTGGCCCCTACCTGCGCGCGGTTCGCGGGGTCCTTCTTGATCCACTTGATAACGGTCTCATACACCAGCTCCTCGGCCTTGGTGTTGAGGCTGTCGTTCGAGATGTAGGCGATGAAGTCATCCTTGGAGATGCTGAGAATCTCCTCCTGGGCTGCCACCTCGGGGAAGATCTGCAGTGCGAAGGCCTTGGCCATATGGTAGAGCTCGCTGCACTGCATGGCCTCGGCCATGGCCAGCACCCCCAGGCAGTTGCTGGCCGTCAGCTGCTTCTCTGGGGGCGAGAGCACAGGGCCACTGACGGCAGGGCCTGGAAGGGCCGCACCCATTCCCACCCCTGTCCGTCTGGATCCCTCGCTAGCCTGCCTCCAGCACCCCGGGGCCCCCAGCGTCTTTCCTTTCGTCTCCCATCCCCGGCAGACTCTCCCGCGGCCTCCCTCTGCTCCTGCAGGCCCAAGCCGTGGCTGCGATGTAGGCAGGTCAGCGCCAGGCTCAGGACTTCTGCACTGCCCGCCAGGGGAGACGGCTCGGGCCTCGGCCTGGGCTGCGAGAGTGGTCACAGTGAGGCTTCCGGGCCTTCCAGAAGGTGACAGTGGCTCTGGGCCCACAGTCTCTGACTCTAGAGTCATGGCAGCAGGAACGCCAGTCCGGCTGCCAGCCCCCTGGGAGTCAGTCTCACCCATCCTGGCTGCTAGCCCTGGGCTCGCCTGGCCAGCTCTGGGGAGACCCGAGGATCATTCTAGCCTGGAAGCCATCAGCACCCCCGCTCCCGTACCTGACCCTGCAGCTGTGATTCCTGACCCTTCTCAATTGCTGGGTTCTCCTGGGTGCCATCTCACCCCCCCCGGCCACCCCACCTAGCCACCCCTGGCGCACCCCAAAGTCCACAGGCTCTTTGTGACCCCATCTTTGCCTCTCTGCTCACCCAAGCTGGTTAGCTCCAACTGTGAAGTGTGTTCTCTGGGTTGGAGTCCACTGGAAGCCTGGGCACTCAGACCCCCACTCTGCACAGCATGTCTGGGTGTCCAAGAGCAGATCACATGGCCAGACATACACAGTGCAGGTGGCCCAGGCTTTGTGTGCATTAAGAGGAAAGCGGTCTCTGGTGCCCTTGGCCAGTGGGCGTTGAGGCCAGGGCACGGCTCACCACGACCAGGCCACTCACGTGGCCCTGTCCGTCCTCACCACGCACTGGGTCAGGCCAGGGTCAAGTACATCCTCTCCCACCCTCAGTGGCCTAGAGGACCCCTCTGTCTGGTGAGCAAAAAGGCCCGTGCAGAGTTCCCCAGCTATCACCCCAACACCGCTCTGGGCCCATGGTCTGGGGGAGTTCACACAACCTACACCCCTCAGACCTGGCTGCTTTCAATTCTCCCACCAGAACCCGCGCATTCGCCAGACTCACCCAAAAAGGACACACAGACTTTGCAGAAGGTGTGGAACTGGAACTTGCTGGCCGCTTCCAGTAGGGTCTTGGCATTGGCCGAGTCGATGACCAGCGAGCCGGTGTAGACAAACTCCAGCAGCAGCTCGAGGACGTCGGCCTGCAGGTTGGACAGCACGAGCTCCAGCTGCTCCCGGCCCCCCTGGCCGCTGTCCTGCACGGACCTAGGCACAGAGACCGGGGTGTCCGTACCCGCCGCCCTGCCCCCACGCTGCCTCCTCACAGGGCTGGGTCTCCCTGCACGCCTCGGGCACGCCCTTACTTTTGGACTCAAGGGACACAGCAATGACACACCTGAACCTAACGACCTTACACGGGATCTGAAAGAGAAGAGTCTGGCCAGAGACGCCCCAAAGAACAGAGAACCCTGGTTATCACTACCGGCATGTCCATGCAAAAAAGATGCAAATCAAAAAGCATGAGCTCTGGATGGGGACGAGGACCAGGGCTGGCCCCAAAGGGAAACAATACGCTTCGGCCTGCCGCTCACCTCTCTGCCGAGCGGGGCCGGCGGGGCCCGGCCCTCTGCCTCTGCTGGGACATCTCCAGCCTGACCAAGTTCCCAATCGGCTGTGGTCACAGCCCCTCTGGAGACTTCCTTGGGTCACCCCAAAGACTGAGGGCCTCAGGCTTCCCAGAACCCCAACCCCAACCCCACCTCCTTCCAAAAACATATTGTTTCCTTTTAGGTACGGGAAGGAAGCCCTTCATGACATTGCTTTGAAACTGAGGACGAGACGAGATAGACGGACAGAATGGTCAGAGCCGGGAGGGGGAGGGAACAACCAGGGACTCCCGCCACAGACAGCCAGCAGCCATGACCTGGACGAGGCCCGGGGCGGCCCTCCTGCCACATGGAACACGGGTCAAGGCCAGAGCGGCCTGCGTGTGGAGTGTGCGTCGGGCTTGTGAACTGGGGGGAGCAGGGGAGGGACACAAATATATAAATATGTTTATATCTGGTGTCTACAGAAATACGAAACCATTGCAAAGGCTCCCAGGCCTGGCAGCCGCACCCTAAAGCTGGACCTGCAAGGAAACAGATCAGATGAAGCAAAAGTAACACCGATACAGAAGTGACCAGGAGGAAGAACACCCAGAGCGTGAAGAGTCGGGAGGCAGGCTTCTCAGAGGCGATCGGCTCGGCACCCCCTCGGCCGCTCTGGCCAGCCCTGCTCCCTGCTCTGAGCCTGGGCCTGCCGGGGCTGGAAGCAGCCGCGTGCCAGGGCGGTGCCTTCAGCAGCCCCTAGCCTTGCTCCTACGAGGGAGGCCGGGGAATGAGACTCTGACTGTGCCTGTGTCTGGCTGTGCTGTGGGGGTGTCTGGCAAGTGAGCAGGCCCTGGAGAGGGGCGACTCCTGTGTGGGCGAGGAGCTAGGAGCTCTGGGTGTGCTGACTGCCACCAACAGGCAGCCGCCTCGGCTGCTTGGGCCTCCACCTCCTCTTCTGCAAAACAAGAGAACGGGGTGAGGTCTGAAGTCCATGGAACCCCTCCTAAAAGGCTCCCCTACCTCTGGCAGTATCAGAGATGCCACATCTCTCAGGTTAGAACGGCCTCCCACAGCCTTTGAAGCACAGGCACGACCTGGCAGAATAGGTGTGTCCTGCCTTCTCTGCAGAACAGTCCAGAAAATCGAGGCATGGGAAAGGGGATGACTAACAGGACCCCTCCTGCCCCACAACCACAGACATACATGGTGCATGACTTCAGTCCTTTGCTGTAGGGGTAGATGGTCCATGCTTGGCCAGCTTTGTTAGATACAGGAATAGTTTATTTTGTGGCCACTTGAAATAAGAGAAATTCTGAACAGGCCTCAGGGCCATCTGGTCAACCTCTTACTCCAAGCATTTGCCACTTCCTCTTCCTCCCCAGTGACTCGGCCTTTCCCCTCACCCTCCTTGCGTCTGACCAGGCCGGGGCTGGTAGGGACTCAGTCTCCATGAAGAGCTGAGGTGGGACTTCAGGATATACGCACATGTATCCACACTCACACACACACACACACTGAAACACATGTGACTTGTAAGCCAGGAAGCACGTGCGTGGGCAGATGGAGCCCAGTGGAGCCCACAGTGTGGCTGCATCTGTGGGCAGGTACTTGTGGTGTCATGTGTCTGAGCCAGGGAGAGGGTCCTGGGATGGCCCAGGACCTGGACTGTGTGGGGAAGCACAATGACTTCCCTAGGAGGCACAAGGTGGCTCTGCTACCCCAGGCCCCTGTGGGCACTCTTGAGAGGGGGACCCCGGGAAAAGGGTCTGCCGAGAGCGGCTGGAGAGTTTTGGGATTGGGTGCCAGATGCTGTGAGCTGAAGGAACATTCTAGTGGCCACTGATGCACAACTGGAAAAACGAGTGAAGCTTTGTCAGACAGCCAAGTTCAAGACAGGAGGAAGCGAGCCTCCAGACAGGCTGGGCTTGGCCCGCCTGCACGCTCACTGATTGTCCACCGGTGTGTGTGTGCCTGGCCAGCTGTGGGGGCTGAGGGAGGCCAGTGGACACTCTGCACCCTGAACATCAGATTGTCCTGGGCCGGACCTCATTGGGTCTCTGCTCTGAGAGGCTTTGCTCCGGGTGGCTGAGGTCACCCTTGGGGAGCAGTGGGAACATCCTGTCCTGTCCTACCTGCCTCTTGGGGTCTGAGTGTCTGGTTCCGCTCAGTCCCTGAGTATCTGGGGAACTGCTTGGTTCCTGGCTGCAGAGTGGTCACAACAGCACCTGGGGGTGGAGCATGGCAGGAACGGGCAGTGCCACCTTGTCAAATAGGGGGCATGAACTTGGTGTTGGGAATCCAGGAGTAAGGGGCAGGTTGGTGCTGCCTGCCCACATAGGGCCCAAGGGTCTGGAGACTAGAACTCTCCAGAGTCACCTTCTCCTAAAAGGGGCGTGGCTGGGAAGAGCCCCAGGTATGGGCCACGGCCGCCACCTGACAGATGGGATTTGTGGATGTGCAAATGCTTAGTGCCCCAAATGAGAACGTGTGGTGCTCCCCGCCAGGAAGCCCCTCCCCGGGCGTCAGAACTGCCGTCTCCAGACTGGAGTCTCCCCCGTCTCCCTCCCGCCTAGTGATCTCTTGTGCTCATGCTGTGAGTTGTGGACTGCAGGTGTGGACACTTGGAGCAGGCGATGCCCGTTCTGCCTGAGTGACCTGTGCTCCCAGGTGGGGTGTGACTCCTGTGCCCATAGGTGCTCAGGCTTACCATGGTTGCAAGACAAGCACAAGCTTACACGAGTCTCTCTGGGCCCTGGGGACTTCCTGGGTGTGGGCAGACCCCATGCTGGCTATGAGTCTGGCGTGCTCCATTTTGCCTGCATCCAAACATGTCAACCTGTCCGTTAGCTGGGTTCGTAGCAGCACCTGTAGATGCCACCGGGACAAGGGGCAGCAGCCAGCACTAATGCCCACCTGCAGAGGGCGGAGGGGCATGTGGCTTATTACCCTAAAGTCCATCAAGGTGCCCCACGTCCAGGACTGGCCAACTGTCCGGTGGGTCCTAATCTGTCCTGGAGAGGGAGATGACAAAGTGAGAAGCCCAGAAACTGTACCTGAGGACTGTGAAAATCTACTCAGACACAGACCGGTCGGTCCATTCATTCCCTTCAATATGAAAAGAATATGTCAAATATGTCCTTGGGCCAACAGGCTTTGTGAGATGAGGGTTTCACCTGGGAGGCAGAGCGCCAGATTCTGCTTCCAAGTGGTGGCAGGAGAGGGCAGCTCTCCGCTGGGCTTAAGTCCCGTGTGGGGAAGGGCTGGGCAGGTGGGGGCCCTCTTGGGGGTGCCTGCACCTTGCCCTGCGAGTGAGGGCTGGCTATGCCCCCTGGGCACCAACCACCTGAGGTCTCTTCTGCCCCTAGGGGAGGCGGAAAGGGACTCCTGCGTGGACCCAAATTGAAGGGGCGTGGGCAGGTCTATGTACTGGTCCCGGGGTTGAGAAACAACTCTGGACTTGGGAGGCTGCGACCCTGTGCCCCCACGGGGGGTGCTACAACACCCTTCTGCTTCTGTCCCAAGGCCTGGGGCTCCCTCCACTGCCCTCCTGTCCACTCAGGCTGTGGGGTTTCCCCATCCACGCCCGAGCTGTAGGGGTGTAGGGGAGGCGTGGTTATGCCTCTAGCCGGGCAGCCAAGCACAGAGCTTTCCTCCCTTTCCTGCTCGGTTTCCACTCGACTGTCACAGAGACTGGCCGGGCACCAGCCGCTCTTGCACCAGGCGTTGCCCTCTGCCCTGAGCCTCCTCACATCGCGACTCTCCTCCCAGGCCGCCTCTGTGTCCAGGGGAGGACGCTTAGGTAGCTGTGTGGGCTGGGAGCGTGTCTGCCTCGTCCGCCGACAGGTGTACGGAGGAGATACTCATGCGCATGCGCACACACGCGCGCCACACCCCTTTCCTGTCCACGCCTGTCCACAGTCAGTCTGAGATTTCACATTCCTTATTCATTTCGTGCATAAATAGCAAGGGCCGTTTTGCTCTAGCCTAGCTTGAGCTTCGGGGTCAGACCTCAGTTCGAACCCCAGATCCAAGGTTTGCTCACACCCACTGCCCTGACATGCTCACCTCATTTTCCTACTCTGTAAAACGGGGAAACTGGTGGTATCTGCTTCTGAGGTTCATAGAGAATTTCCAGGATGACCTTAGACATTGCTGCTGGCCTCCTGGCGGGCTGGGTCTTGTCCTCAGCAGAGGAAGAAAGTGAGTCTGAAGGGACAATATGGGCCCCGGAGGGGAGGAAGGTTTGGCCCACAGAAGGCAGAGTGCCCGGCAGGGGGCGCCACGTAGCTGAGCAGAAGCGAAAGGCCGCTCTTCCCTCACACCTGTCACCTCCTGGAACACACACGACACCCCAGGCTTAGCCCCTCCTTGGGGCTCCTGCCTCACTGGCCAGACTCATCCTCGCTTCAGCCTCCACCTTGACGTCATAGCACCACCCCATGAGCTCCTCCTGGCGCCTGGACCCCCACCTCCGGGGCCTGCACCTGCTCCTCGTCTGGCTAATTCTCTCTCTTGGGCCAGCTCTTCCTGGCCCCTGCAGCTGGGCCACGGGGCCAGGCCTCCGCACCCCCACTGCTGCGGGCATCACACGGTGCAGCCCCCCACCAGACTGCAGGTGCCCTGAGGACCAAGCCTTGTCTCTGCAGCTTGCCCCACGAGGCCTGGCTCTGGAAGGTCTGCGGTGGCCGTGCGACAATGGCCGGTGTCCCGCTGTCTGTCCTGCGGCCCCCAGGTGGGGGTGCCTTGCCAGGGTGGGTCTGGCTGCGGGGACAGTGACCTCAGGGTTGAGTGGTGGACATGTCACCCACGAAGGCTGGGGGCTGGAAGAAGTTCTGGGCGGAAGGGTCAGGCAGGGGCCCCTGACGGAGCCTTCAGGGCCGTGAAGGACCAGCATGCTGCCCCGTGACCACCCTGCTCCCTGTGCCAAGGCAGCACGGCCTGGGGTGAGGCTCCCCTGTGGGACCGGGGGCAGGGCCACGCCCGTCAGCAGGGAATGTAAATGTAAATCCGCCAGGGTCCAGACCCCAGGAGACGAAAGTGACGTGGTGACAACATGGGCTGCTCCCTGACCCGGAGCCCGTGAATCTGCGAGGACTTTCTGTGGCTGGAAAGAAACCTGTCTTCCTGTGGAGACCGGCTTTCCTCTCCGCAGAAAGAATTCGCAGCTATGGACAGAAATGGTGACATGTGCTCACGGTTAGGATGAGGGAAATAAAACGTACAAGGACTGCGGAGTCAACTGATCTTCAACGGCCTGGACGCTCTGGGCTGTCTCTGCCCCTGTGGTTGCTGAAGACCAGCCGGTCTCCCTCGCCTCAGAGCTCTCTGGGTTCACCCAGCCGGCTCCTACTGTCCTTCAGGCTGCTCCACCTCAACACGGCTCATGCCAGCTTCATCGCTGCCCTGAGCTCCCACCCGCCTGGTCTGTGGGCCTGCCTCCCCGTGACCTCACCCTTCTCGGTCCTGGAGCCGGGCTCAGGAAGCCTCTGCAGGGCCGTCCCTGGCCGTCTCCTGAGCCTGTCAGAACTGGAAGGAAACCTGGACATCATCAGAACCGATCTCTTGTTTCACAGATGAGAAAACTTGAGACCTACGCAAGAGGATGGGACCTGTCTGGGGTCACAGGGCAAGTGGCAAGTTAGAAGCAGACCCAGGTCTCCTAGCTCCCACGGGAGTGTCTGTTCTCCCCTAGTGGGCATCTTAGTCCCAGCACCCATTCTTTTTATTAGGGTCGCTGAGACACATCCTACAGTTCTCCCCCTTCAGTGGGCAGCCCCTCCGCACTGCTCGGTGAGTCCCCAGGCCTTAGGCGAAGCCCGGGGCTCAGGGCCTGCCTACCTGTCTCGCCCCAGCTCAGGGAAAGCTCAGGCTAGTCTCTGTCCCTAACCTTGCATTCCAGTCAACTCACCCCTTGCCTGGAACATTCTAGAACCTTCTTATTTTCCAGAATATTCTAGGGAAAGGATGAGTTCTTCCTCCTCTTTTTGGCCTTTCCAAGAAGCTTTCACTACTTCGAGCGCTCACCTAGAGGAGTCCTCTGTGTGCGCAAAAGTTTGGCGTAACACGTGAGGTCTCTGAAGACGGTCCAGGGGTTCTTGTCCACCTCTTTCTAGCCCAGGGCCGGGCCACCCCTCAAAAGCAACCTCATCCTGCATTCTGTCCCTGCTGTGCTCTCTAGCTGGTCTGGGCCAGAGAGACCCAGACCCTCGGAGGCCATAGCTGCAACCCACCGCTAGTTCCAGAATTTGCCAAGAGTGGCAGCACAAAGACCTCCCTTGGCCGGAAGAAGCCACTGGACGTGCCCCTTCACCCCAGAGCTCACGCCCAACCCTTGTGCTCGGACAGGAGAACCCAAGCACCGGGGGTGGGAGGCCCCGGCTGTCCAGGAAACTGGAAGTCACAAAGAGCCTGCCCCTTCCTGCATGGCTGGGCCGGCGGCTGGGAGGGGCTCGCACGCCAGGCAGCTTAGCTCTAAGTGAAAGGACACAACAGATTGAAAGGAGATGCCAGCCAGGGTGCCATCCTGAAACAAAACACAGTCACTCTGGGGTTAGTTGGCAAGTCCAAACACAGCATTGGGAAGCAAGCAGAGGTCCTGTCCTCCCACTCTGAGCCAGTCCCGGCTCAGCGTCCGCCCCGGAGAGGCTGCAAAGGCAAAATGAGCAGCGGCATTAATCTGCTGGTGGGGGAGAGACAGGAGCGTTCCCTGGCCGGCCCCTCGGCTGCTCTGCCTCTCTAAGGAGCTAGAAGGCGACCCTGACTTCTTTGCAAGGGTATGAAGCAGACAAATTAAAAAAATCAACGTAATGGAAAAAAAGATGCTCATGCACCATTAAGACTCATTTGAGTAGAGAGAGCTGGGGTGGAGGGCAGAGGGCAGGGAGCCAAGGCTGAGACCGCGTTTGGGACACGCCTGGTCTGCGCTCGGGAAGACGCCCGTTTAGGCTCGGCGGGCCAGGATCCAGACATGCGCGTGGGTGAGGCCCGGCTAAGCGCAGCTCTCCCCACTCGGGCTGGGGAAACGTGGCCCCTGGGCGCCTCACGCTCTCGGGGCGGGGAGGGCTGATCGAGGGGCTTTCCTGGCATCAAGTTCGCCATCGACAGCAGGGGGGGTGTGGTGCCAGGGGCCGGGGCTGGCCCGCGGGGCCGTGCACGCCGGCCCTCTCCGGTGAGTCTGCTGTCCTCTTAATCTTGGGCAGGGTTCGCCCGCCGCTGAGAAGGCGGGGTCCAGGCCAGGCTGGGGGGTCCTCTGCGGCTGGCGGGGGCGGGACCCGCACAGCTGTGGGGGCGGCGGGCCGGGCCGGGTGCCTGCTCTGAGGCTGTGTGTGAGGGCACTTGGAGGAGGGGGAGGAGGAGAGATGGCTACTGGCTCTGTGACAGGGAGTCACACTTCAGGAACCTGCAAGAGAGGGGAGGAGAAAAGCGACACAAAAGCGTCCTACAAAGGAGCAGACCCGACCACAGCTGGAAGGAAGGCAAACCTTTGAATCAGGTCCTTGAAATACAAGCTGCAGGAAGCTAGAACATTTTGGTGGACTTCAAACTCTCTGCCTTCAACAACAATTTTCAGGTCTGTAAACGCTTTCGCTCTGCGCTGCTGGTTCAATTCCTTCAACATTTCTGCAGAACAGAGAAGACAGACAGGGCCAGGTTCCCATTAAGAGTTTTTTTTTTAATTAAAAAAATTTATTTTTCAAGAAGTAGAGAAATAGGAAAATACTTGATACTGTTTCTTGGCAAGTCTGGCTCAACATGGACAGTTAAAAGAAGTCACAAACAGTGCGTAAACAAGCAGCAACTTGGGGGAAGGGCACAGAACCGAGGGAGTAACAACTTTTCAAAAGCAAAAGAAAAAAACAAAACAAAACAAAACCAGAACCAGAACCAAAAACAAGTACAATAATAAAAAATCAAACCCAGAAATGGAAAGTTGGGGGAGGGGACGAGTCCCCGCAGGACGATCAGAGACATAAAGAGTACATCGCCACAGACAACCTGGCAACTGACTAGGGAGCAAGCTCTCCAGATGCCAGGGGTGCCCATGCGGGGTGCCAGGAAGCGTGGCATTGTGATGTAAGATGGGCTGCATATGGTTCAAAGGAATAAAAACCACAAAACCTGCAAAACCAGCGTCCCTGCCTTAGACACTACCGCCTTGGCCTGGGGCCAGCTTCTGGGGGGTGGGAGCCGAGAAGGAGGGGTGGCGGGGGTCTTGGCGAGCACCTCCTTGCAGCTCACACTTCGGGACGGCGGGGGAAGCAAGCGAGAGTTAGGGCCTGTCTGCCTCTGCCCATTTCGGGGCTGCTCTTGCAGACCCTCACCCTTGCCGGGTCTTCAGCAAGGGAGTCTGCCTGGCAGCCCCGCACATCCCAGCAGGAAGTGGCCCCAGACCTGCCCACCTGATGTGCACCTACCTTTGCCTGGCGTCTTGACCTCCTGGGGCTGGCACAGAGTGCCCCAGGCTGGTGGGCTGCAAACCTGGGCATGACAGAAGTTTCTCCCAACCCCCTCAAGGCTCGGAGCGGGGAAGCTTGAGGGGGAGCCTGCCAGCTGCCCCGCTTAGCTGATATGGGTTCCTTCTTTTGCAAGAAGTCCAGGCCTTCAGGTGGCTGACCTGCACGCCCACGCTAACCTCCCCCTCACCTGCCTGCCCACCGTGAGCCCTGGGTGGCGCCTATCCTGGCACTTGTTGGAAGCTGGACAACAGCAGTCCAGATTCTGGTGCCACCTGGACCTAGCCTGCTGTCTGGGGAAGAAGAGGGAGTCCGCAGGGCTGAACCCCATCTCCCAAGCCCCCATACCGCCCGGGCTGTACTGAGCCTTGGCTGGGATTCCAGAATTCCCGTCCTTTGCACCCCGCTCCAGCCTGACCAGTCATCTCTGTCACGTAAGCCAGCACCAGCCCCCCGCCGAGATGCCCTCCCGAGTCCAGCTCTGCCTCTGACCCTTGCACGGCCAAGAACAAGACCCTGTGCTTCCCGAGCCTGTTTCTACATCCGCGAAATGGGGGTGCAGACTTCCGGAGCTGGTGAGGACTCTGAGCTGGCTCAGAGATGAGCAAGTCTGTGGGAGGGCAGGCAGGGCTTTCCTTGGAGGAAACTCGGGGCCTGAGCTCTGCCCCCCTTCTCACCAAGGGAGATGGTGAGAAGGGGGTCCAGCGGTCTGAGCAAACACTCCACGTTCAGGGGCCTCCCGGCCTCTGTGGGTTGTGGGCAGCGTTGCTTCCTTGACCCCACTCAGCCCACAGCGGCTGAGCCGTAGCCAGGCCTAGCAGGATGTGTGTTCAGGCGTGGGGTGCTGCCTGGCCCTCCAGGAAGTCTCCCCTGGGTGTGCTCTCACCTGGAGCGAGGGGTCCAGCGGGCAGGTGTTGGGGCGGGGGAGCCCCCGGGGTGTGATGGGAGGGCAGGCGGCCTGACCTCTAGGGACGTGGAGGGGCCCGGAAGGGGTCTGAGTTAGTTTGGAGGGGGCCTATGGGACCCCAGGGAGGTGTGGGGCGGGGGGCCTGGGCTGGAGGTGGGCGTGGGAGACTAAGCCCTGGGCATGGAGAGACGCAGAGCCTGCTGGCTGGCGAAGGGGACGGACGTGCTGCTCAGCCGTTTTCGCTCCAGGAAGAGCCGCCAGCTGTCTTTGGGGGGTTCATTCCCAGCCTCTGAGCCGTGACACCCTCTTCATGCGTGAAGCAGGTGTGGGTGGGGGTGGCCCCGGGCTGCATCCTGAAGACCGGGCGGCCGGCTTGCCTTCGCGTGTCCCCCGGGCTGCCCAGCCCCTCAGGGCAGCGGCTCCTGCAGCCGGGAGAAGGTGGCCCCCACACTGCCAACTTCATCGTGGCGGGATGTGGGGGGAGGGGGCAGGAAAAACTCCAGGACTGTGGGTGCAACCCGTTCTGAGTGTTTCTGAAGATTTTCCTTGAAATCCAGTCCCTCATTGATTACATTGGGAGCCCCAGGCCCAGCCCCAGCTCTGGGGAATTCAGGCTGGAGCTGGGGTTTGCTGGAGGTCCAGGCCACTGTTGTACATGGTGCCACTTTCTGCTCTCACTTTGAGGAAACCTGGATTTGTAGTTGGGCAGGATTACTCTGCTTCAGAAGAATGTTTCAACTTCTGGAAGTGCTCACCTGGGGATTCCTTCCCACAGCAGGGCCCCGGCCATACCCCAATACCCATCAGGCCTGCACAGGACCGGCTGGAGAAGAGGGATTTGGGGAACTTACACCCAGGCTCCACGCAAGGCTGCCCCCAAATCTGGACAAAGGACAGCCCCTTTGTCTGCGTGGCTCGGAGGACTGTGGCTTTTGAAGAAATCTTTCAACCAGGGGTCTAGGATCAGGCCTGGGAGCAGAGTGGACTTCCCTAGCACCCCAAAGCCCTAAGAGTTTGGCTGCCTCAGGCTTGTAGGGGGGAGATGGCCTGACACCCTCAGCCACCGTATCCCCACCTCAGGAACCTTGGTGGGGGCGAGACCTTGACCTCAGGGTCTCCCCGGCCGGAGGGAGAGGCCCCAGCCGGGCCTGTGGGCTTCCCTCTCCCCCCTGCGCCCTTACCTTGTCCCTCCTTGGGGAGCCCCTGCCTGGACCGCCTGGAGGAAGGCACGCATCTGTTCGCAAGGCCGCTTTCGAGACCCCTCCCCATCTCTGACTACCAAGAAACCTCTGCGCCCCTTCTCTTCTCGGTCCACCCCCACGCGCCCGCCTGTGCCCTCTCTCACTGCATCACCGAGACAGCTCGGAGGGTGCTCCCAGCCTCCCTCCTGCCCCTCTAAGCCACCTCCAAAGCAACCTGGCCATCTGCCAGATTTAAGGTGGACGCAGGGGCCTGCAGGTCCCCCAGGATGCCGCCCCCTCCCCCCCAGCGCCTCTGCTCCTGGGGCCCCTTGGTTCCCCACTGAAGCCTCATGTACCACGCAAGTCTCCCTCATCTCTGAGCCTCGCTGGGTCTTCTCCTTTCTTCATCTGGCTAATTGTCATCTGTCCTTCGTACTACCGAGGTACTCTGCTGCCCTGGCCTCTTGCCTCTTTCTCCTTCTCTCTCCTCCCCCACCCTCCACCTTCCTCGTCTTACTCCCTTGGCCTCCCGGCTGGCTTCTTCAGAGCATTCTATGCGCTGTGTTTGTAAGCCTGCTTCCTGCACTAGATTATGCTTTATTTATATTTTTAACTTCAACACTCAGCTCAGGGCCTGGAATACATGCAGCTGGAGTGGCAGATTGCAAACAGGAAGGGGAGGAGTTCATTTCCCCACCCTTTAGCATGGCTGTGTGACATGTTCCAACCCCAGAAGGTGGTCGAAAGGTCAGTGTGTGCGTGTGAGCCACAGTCTCAAGACGTTTCGCTTAATTTTCTCTTAAGTCCTCTGCCGCCGCCACCCCATGGACAAGACTGAGCGAGTCTGGTGGAGAATGAGACAGCAGGTGGAGCAGAAAGAGCTGTCTCGGAGGAGCACTGACACCTGCCAACCCCCACCACGTCAGCTGAGGCTGACTCACGTCGGTTGAAGCCAGTCCAAATTGCAAACCAGAGTCAAAATCTAAATAAGAAGTTGTTATTTTAAGCTTCTAAGTCTTAGAACTGTTTGTTATACACCAAGAGCCAGCTGATACAGAATGCATGAATAAATAATGGGCTTCAGTGTGCAGAGAACTTTGCTGGTTCAAGTTTTCCTTTGCTGGTTCAGTTTGAAGTTAACTGATGTGTGCATGGTATTTTTAAATGGTGGCAAAATTTACCATCTAAGCCATTTTTTAGGTATTTAGTTCAGTAAATAGAGTTAAGTGCATTTACACTGTCGTGCAATCAATTTCTACAGTAAATTTCATGTTGCGAAACTGAAATTCTGTAGGCATTAAACATCTTCCCATTCCCCTCTTCCCTCACCCCGGGGACCACCTTTCTTTCCTGTCTCTATGGACTTGACTGCATGGGGTACCACACATAAATGGAATCATCCAGTGCTGGCCTTTTTTGTGAGTGACTCATTCCTTAGCATGGCATCCTCAAAGTCGTCCATGGAGCATGTGTACGAAATTCCTTCCTTTTTCAGGCTGAATACTACTCCATTGTATGGACGTACCACATGCTGTTAACCCACGTAATCACCAAAGGACACCCATATGGCTGGGATATTCTGACGACTGAACAGTAAGTATTGCTGTGAGGCTGATTCTTAACACACCCAGTAATGGATATCTCTAAATGCCCCAGCCCTAATATCAATTTAAATGATTAGGCTAAACTGGTTCTCTGGGCCCAGCAAAAAGTGGTATCAGAAAGAAAGAGGACACTGGCTGGGGGTGGGGGACTGCCTGGTGCTGGACGCTTTGGCCAGGGGACAGTGAGCACATGGACAGAATCAAGACTGGAGATGAAGTTGTGGCCCAACGTCTGCATATTTTTCACCAAACGATACGAGTTATTTGTCAGAGATTAATGGGCCATTCCAGCTGGACTGGGAGGGCTGTCTGAGGTGGTAATAAAGAGGAAGACATGTCAAATATTAAAAGGCAACAGATTTCAATGGCTTTGCGGCAGAGCAGTCCATTAAATCAGAGCCCTGAGAAAGGTTGTGCGGTCAAATAATTTTTTTTTTTTTTTCCCAGAGTGCAAGTAGGAGCCCTGCTAGATGAT